CCGGCGGGTCTCAAGCAGGCAGCTTAGAAGAGACCTGTAAGCCTTCTACGGGAGGCAGAGCAGAAGGCAGACGGAGAGTGCAAGCCGAGGCACTCTCTCAGTCTCCTGAAGCGGCTGACGCTCAGGAGGCAGGGGAGCGCTCTGGTGTTGGTAGGAGAGGGGAGACAGTGGAGGCTCCAAGAGGGAGCTGGAATCAGGGGAATCACCCTGCAGCTCCTCCTAACTCGAAGGAGTATTTCTTGTAAAAGAAGAGAAAGGAGAAATTGCTCCCAGAAGGAGGGAGAACGACCAGGAACCGGAGAACCGGTCTGAGGCCGTCATACGAGGCCTGGAAACATCTTGAACGCATCACCCAGCAGTTGGCGCGTGGACAGGGTGTAGGGGAGGCGGAGCCCCGTGGACCACCGTGTCAGACGACCGTAACACCGTCTATTGGGAGGCCCCACCTAGGATAAAGATCTCCACTGTAGACCCCTCTTAAGGTATATATTTACATCCAAGTCGTGGCAGGTGAGTTGAGGGGAGGGGCAACACCCCGGTAGACCAGGTGGAGTGGGGCGCAGGCTCCACACCCGGGAAGGGAACACAGAGCCAGATAAGAGTCCAGGTGCAGGTTGCCATGACAACTGGCTAATGAGGGAATTGGCTGCACCTGCGCCTGGTCAGCTGGCTGAAAGAGGCAGGGCCCGAGGCCTATATAAACCCTAGGGCTGGGACCAGGCAGTTCAGTTTCCTGCCAGCAGCCAAAGGGGAAGAAGCCTTCAGGAAGAAAGGGCTCAGAGATACTACAGCCATTGGATTACAGCCATTACCCTTAGGGCTAATGGGACACCAGGAGCCCATAAGGTACCCTCGCCTACAAGCACCCAGTATTAGAGAAGGAGTTTTGTTTTTTTTAAGGGGGTACAGCATGCCTTGCATTTTGTTATGTTATAGCCCAGGGGCTTCTGTTTGATTGCTGTTGCTTGTTTGCTGTCTGATAACACTGGTGGTTTGGGTGAGGCTATTTGGGGAAGGAGGAGGCCTCATTGGGGGCCCACTGCAGCATGGGGACCCTGGCGCCAGAGGGGGCACAGCATTTGGGGGCACGGACCCTGGAGCCGAGGAGCACAGAGACAAGGGCTGCAGAGAGCCCAGTGAGGACAAGGGGCTGAATTATAATGAGGCCTAGGCAAAACAGTCCCAGTACCATCTGTGAGGCTTGGGGCATGGTAAAGGGATGATTGGAGCCCATGCATATAGCCCATAAGCCTGAGAGACTCGGGCACCATACACCATAACGTGGCATGTCAAGGGGTCTATGAACCACAGGGTTCAGTAAGATCTAGCCAGATCATGTTTAAACCCAAAGATCAAGGGCAGCCTCCCTATATCAATTATACCAACAAGACATGGCAGGAAAATGGAGGGGGCAGGTAGGGCAAGACTGGCATGGTTAAGGAGCCTAGGGGTAACACGGCCACTCCTAGGGACCCCACCCTGCTACAGAGGCCCGTGGTACAGACCCCCAATACTAAGCCAGACTTGTGAGGGGGAGGAAGGCAGGTTCTTGCAGACCTTTGCAAGAGTAGATTTCCCATCCCAACCAGCAGTTCCCTGTGCAACCAGCGCCCAGAGAAGTAGAAGGTTTTGCAGAGGAGGCAGGGACCACTGCTTATTGAACTCAAAAACACCAAAAACTGTGTGTCTTTCAAGCAAAGCCGCCAACAACTTCTCCTCCCTTCTCCCCCC